CACACTCACTGCTGGTCTACCATACGAGCTGGAAATACTTCTTTGAGCCACTAACACTACGTGCACCATCCCCGGCCCCCGCCTGTCTGGTCAAGCCCGCAGCTGGGCTTCTCCATTACCTCCACCTTTGAGCGAATAGGCAGTCGTCCCGCCTCTGTGGAACAGTGGAAACAGAAGAAAAACGGCTCTGGCGCCGTCGTCTGTGCGTTGGGTGTATGCAGGCACGCAACTCTGGTCCGCCTCTAGCCAACCCTCAGCGAGTTGCCCAGCAAGGAAAAACGAGGGAAAGAAAAAGGCGCATTCTCGGATCACTTTCTTGGTAGCCAATGCCTGTCGAGAGTTCTGACGAGCTTTGGCAATACCCGGTGCCCGCAATGGAGAAGACACGAGCAACGTATGCAAAGGCGGACAGCATGGGGGGAAACAGAGGGTCCCAAAAGCTCGGCTTGTTCGCGACTCAGTCAATCAGTCCCTCTTTGAGTTCCTCACGCCCATGGGATACTCAACAGGCAGATAGACCCGGTCGGCGGACTCGGAAATACCTAGGTTGTTGTTCTCACTACTCGAGCTGCGGAAAACCCCACTGTCTCAATTGCGCGAAGCTGTGGTCAACAAAGTCACTCATCTTCCGCAAGCCTACGTGTTAGTGTCCTCCATATTCTGACTATGACTCTAGCAGTCTATCCGAGTGCTAGCTATCCATAGGATCGAAACCAATGCCCAACTAGTCAGGTACCCAGGCGAGGGACTCAGTACTCCAGGAGAGCATTGGGGCTTGATAACGCATTTCTCATGATCTTGCACCGCAAATCGGTTTTTTGCAAACTACGGCAACGCACAGCAGCTTCCCAATTCTTCAGCTTGGCCTCTCTACTCCGTAAACCTTTTGTCAATTCAAGCCAAGCCGAACCCCGCAGTCGTCATCTTCGGGTTCAACGCCTCAAAGATGACATTTTTGACAAAAGGACCTGTCCGAACGACCTTACTATCTGGGAGAGATGGGTCTTGCGTGGAGCAAAAAAACATGTGTGATAGGGAATAAGATCTGGAAATCAACATGGTAGACATGCACCAGCTCCGGGAACCCCGTGGAGCAAATGTGGCTGGTTAAGTTCAAGCCCCAGCTGCCAGCTGGACGTAGCCCTGAGCTTGCTTGCCCTGGACATGGCTCGGCGTCGCCTTGCCTTGCCTTGCCTTGCCCCAAGGTATCCGCACCCTGGCTGGTTTCTTCCGCCCACTGGCGTTTGGGCAACCTAGCTCGAACAGGGTCTGACGGGGAATTCCAGAACCGACCGACCGACAAATATCGACAGGGCAGAAGAGACGCGAGAGAGCTTGTCAGTCGAGTTTTCCCTCTTGCGCCTTGCAGCGCCAATCAATCGTGGATCTGGGACTAGGGTATCGGCCTTCGGGGGACTGGGAGTCTGGCACGCGGGTCGAGAACGAGGTATACCCGTCCCCTCGCGTCCACCCACTGACCGCACTGCCATAATGCCAACAACGGTCGTTGTCTCACGCTACGCAGAATGACTGGGCTGTCTCAGAGCCCCCGTTACCACCGCAAACCTAACGGTCAGGCCAACGTCGGTCTTGAAACTTGAGACACTCAGTTGTACGGCATTTACTATGGAGGCCGGGGGGCTGGCTCCGTTGTGAGCTTGACCGCTTCGTTTCTCATACGCCGGGCGGCGCTCTGCATCTGCCCGATTTCCAACCGATTGACTACCACCTGGATGGCGGATGGCGGATGATGGCACACGGCAGCCGTCGGCAGCTCGCAACCTACCCCAGGGATGGTCTCTCTTGCGCTGCTGCGCACGAAGAAGCAATACCGTACGGCCGGCAACCTACAAAGCCCACAATTGCGTGGTCCCTTGTTCACCGTGTCCACTCCAGCGTCCATGGACCCAGACCTCCTCACTATTCTTGACACTGGGAAAGTCCTCTGGCGGGGACCACAGCCCTCTGGCAGTCGTCGATCATGATCTGTCACAATCTGGATCTAGCGCCGCTCGACGCGCTTTGAAAATCTTCAAACGCCTCATACAGACGAGTATCCACGGACTAGCCACGTCAATGAGAAATAAGAAACCCAAATTTGGGCTACGGAGACGTCCCGCGGACCTCATCTGCTCCCAGATCTGACATCAACGATTTGCTGCTATGTGGAGCAATTGCATGCATCTCACATCATTCCTACATTGATACGAAATCAGCCTGGCAAGGAGCCGTGCAGCGAGAAACAGATGCTGTGTTACAGCCTACAGGTACCTGGGTTCGATTTACTGGATGGACCATGGGCAATCTTGCCAGAAATAGCAGCATCGTCAATTTCATCGCCTGCTCAGCGTTGGCGAAGGACATATCGCCAGTCTACTGAGCTTCCCTAACGTAATGCAACGTTTTCATCCCATGAGCACTTACTGGCCAAAGCTCTCAACTTCATGTTCACCTCGAGTGCCAAAGTTCAGATGAAAGAGATCAACGACTTTGTTTTTGCCGAGGTAGGGATCTGAAGAGTGTCAGAGCTGCGTTCAGAGCATGGGTTGAAACAGCTGCTCGATGTAACTTCTATCCGTCCATCTCAACGCACGAGTCGAGAACCTTATTGTGTGCTTGGGAGGCCAAAAAATGTCTGGCCAGTTCGGATGAAACTGGTGAAATTTTCGACACGTCAGGGTTCGAATGGTTATCGTTTACGGAGCATCTTGGGAGATAGAGTCGATCAAGAGCATGCTGAGGACACTGGACGGCTTCTCATGAGTGAAAAGTGCATAGACGGCCCGTGGAGTTTGCTTCTCGTTTTCGAGCTTCTGGGACTTGTGATAACGGGGACGTTCTCGGGTGAAAAAGGCGGAACCTCGTTGGTAGAGAGATCGGCCTGTCATCAGCAATCTTACCACAAACATGCGAGCGGTTTGTGCAAGCAACGCGTGAGAGACGGTTTGCCAGCTTTTGGCTAGGATTACCCTGTTCCGACCAACCAGGCGGTGGTTGTGCACAACCACCCAGAGACCTACACCATGCGCGTACATTCACGACAAGGTTCTTGTGGCTGATTCGAATAGTGCATAGGAGTTGGTACCACAACATACCGAACAGACACTACACAAGATGTGTAAGGTATTGAATCCCTCTCGGCCATTGAGCGTACCGCCATCGTCGGCACATCGTAGCTTCCGAGTCTTGTCGTGGCGACGGCGTCAACTTGGGGGCAAGATCGGTTCCAAGACCGTCTGCCATCGACCGCTAGCTTCAGGGGCAATCCTTTCAGCTTCGCGCCCAACGCACAGGTCCAAGATCGGTCCTGAAGAAAACCAGGCCTCAGAAAAGGAGATGATAGGGAAAAGAAGAAGCAAGTGTATGCAGAAACGCGTCACGCTGAAAACGACAAAAAGAGTGACAATTCGAACAGCCCACTGAAAACTATGGAAGTCTTCCAGACTTCCGCGCGGTGGACCTCGAAGGCGAAGCAAGCATCATGGCAAACTGCAAATAGAAACTCTGGTCAGTGGCCGGTCCACGGTCCATACACCGCACTAGTGACTGGCTACGCATCTGTTCCCTCTGTCACCGTGAGAGCCTTTGATGAAGGCGCGCCTAACGAATCTTCGTATCGGAACGCCATGCTCCAACGTTAATGTATGGATATATCGAGGCGCGCGACATTAGCGGCGAGAATCGACGACACGGCGAACCGATGCCATGTACAGGAGTATACACGGCACGGCATACACACGCGACACACAGTGCATGAAAGCCCTGAGCTAGCATCTCGACGCGCTCGACTTGCAACTGTTTTTCAATCTATACTTGGCGTATACAATGTTCGGATGCATCAAACACTCATTTCCCTCCGTCATTTGGCGTTCCGGCTGAATTTAGGCCGCCTTTTTCCTTTTGTAGGAATAATTTCACCCACTACCCACTTGCTCATTATTCGTCTTTTGCTAATATGTCTTCTTTCATGTCCCTGCATCTCCACCTGTTGCAGGAAGTCAGGCAGTCCTGGGGCTACGAAGACATTACCTATTCGCTTTGCCGGAATTCCGCCGTTCAAGAATTTGTTCAGTGCATCAAAGTCTACAGTATGGCGGCCTGAGTACTTCGTACAGCTATGACCGAATAAGGCATGGATACGGATGTCACATCTACCGTCCCAATCCCGACTGACTGGCCAAATATTTCTCCAAGCGTCTGCCGGCCTGCTTGGGTCTTCAACTCTCCAAACGCTCCCTTCAGCATATGCACGACTTCAGCCAGCTGGTCGCGATAATTGCTGCTACTATCGTTGCATATCTGCATATACGCTTTGCCTTTCACCCAATGGATTTAGGCACGCGACTGGGAAGCGACGCAGACGGCTGCTAGTATGCAGTGCATCGGTCTGTCTGCAGGTTGCAGGCAAAGTCTCAAGCCTTGAGAGGGGGGGATAATCAAGACCATTCTTCCCCGGCCAGCATCTCCCGGGCCGTCTATGGCCCATCCACTCAGGACCGCCGCATCCTGCATGCCGTCTTCAAACTCACACGGCCCAGGTTGCTGCTGCTGCTGTCGTTATCGTTGTCGTTGGCAGTGGTAGTGGCAGTAGTATTACGTGGTACTAATGCTGCTGCTACTGTTAACACTGCGTTGCTGCTTGCTTCTTTGCTTGCTGCTGCTGTCTATACGTCTCTTCTCTCTGGTCTTTTCGGACCACCAACGATGCAGCTCGCTTCATGGGTGCGTGAGAGAGTTCGTTTGTACCCTGCCTTACATCCACCCACCCACATCGGCCGACAGCCCCCCCTCAATCCTTACAGCAAGGCATCCTGGGCGACTACACCACACCCCCGGCAGCACCTCCAGAGCCAGATCCCTCCATCCCCCCTGACCCCTTGTCGGCATCCTGGAAGAGGGGACATACGGGGGGGAGGGGGAAGAGCTGCTGCGGCGTTGCATTCTGGGACTAGGCTCTGCAAGAGACTGTGAGCATTGCACAGGGCAAGGTTGTGACGGGGCGGCGCTGACATCCCTCCCCCGGTCTCTGGCTTTGGAGACTGGTCCCTCTCCTTTGGTCTGGTCCATGTCCACAGTCCGTCCATCTGCGTTGAGCGCTCAGAAAACTCACAGGCTCGACGGATCCCAAGGTTCGGATCCCGACCCCCGGCTCACAACGCATTGAAAACAGCACCATCTTAAATATATTACAGTCCCAAGCGCTTCCCCCACAGTCTAGCTGATCTCTTGTCACCTGTTGCTCTCTTAGGACGAACAAAAGGGCGCTGGGCGGTTGATGCTGGTTGCTGTTTTCTGGTTGCGCGCGCTCTTCCCTCCTTCTCGGCTCTGCTCACTCTGTCTATCATTCAAACTTTTCCTACTCGGCGCAACGTAACGCAACGCCTACACACCACAACCCAACCTCTTATTAGTCTTACACAGACCACACTCACACACACATTCAAGCAACTCGCATTCTCTCATAACATCCCCGATCCCGACCAGACAAAGATCCAGAGCGGCCCAGTTTTAAAAAGTAAACAGGAACACCAGCAACGAAAAAGGCCTCGACTTGCTCAACCCTGTTCACAGCACGCTGGAGAAGAAGGGGATCCCTTGAGAGGGGGCACGCCTGGCTTGACGTCGCCCTCTGCATTAAGTCGAAAACAAGATGTGGGCTACCGCTCCACTGCCGTACTACTCGGCCTACAAGCCAACCCGGAGGAAAGAGAGGGCAAGCATCAGTAACAAAGGTGGCTCATCGCCGTCCGTTGCCATCAACTCACAACCTCCCCTTCCTCCTCTCTCAACCCAAGACCATCCCGACAACATCGCAGATTTGTTCGAGCCTGCTCTTGATGGACCGCCGTCGCCGGAAAGGATCCGTGCCTTGAGCAAGCAGATGCAGAGGGCCTCGGCCGTGGACAAACACAAGAGCCATACAACCACCTCCTCTGGCTCGACGTCCTCGCTGCGCTCACTGAACTCGGACCGGTCGTGGGAACACACCCTGGAAACCATTACTCTATCAAGACGTTCTTCTGGCCGGTCGACTTCGAGCAGCATGCCTTCCCGAGACCGCCCCGAGAGCGTACAGCTCTTTGGCAAAACCATCTTCAACCGCAGGGCCAAGATGAAGCGGGAAAGCAGTGGTAACCACAGTTCCTCTGGAAGTTCCTTATACTCTGGTGAGCTTGCCCTGGATGGCCCGGCCTCGACAACAAACAAGGACCACTTCATCCCATCAATTTTTGGCCGTCGCAGAACTCTAAGACAGGATGACTTAGGTGAAGACCCAGTTTCGGGACGCAAGTTGCAAATATCAGGCCCTTACAACTTTCAACATGTCACCCACACCAAGCGGGATCACTTACCGGACCTTCAGCGGGGCAGCCGCGCCGAACTGGTCTCCGAATTCTCAGCCATCCGCGCTGGCCAACGGCCGACCACCGGCCAACTCAAGGGAATTGACGTTGAAGATTTGCACTTTTCCAACTTTTCATCCGAAGCCTTGCACACGCAGCAGGATAACGCGTGGACGTCCGAAACTCAGCCAGAGATATTTGCAAATCGCCCACCTGCCATTGCCCGGCATACAGGCCCGACCTCTGCACCTCGACGGTTGGTCAAGCACACACGATCCCAGGAACAACTTCGGTCGAGCCCGCCGCGCCCAGCACCTCCGCGTCCACCCCGGTCACCCATCAACGAGGAAATTGTCTCGCCAACTCTACCAGGCTCGCCTGTACCTGTCCCTCCCCCCAGATCGTCAAGCCGCATCACGAAGCACTACACCGTTTCAGAAGACTCGCTCGCCACCATTGATATGTTCCCAGAACGCCCTCAGACCAGCAGCGGCTTTCACCTGCCAGGCACTCTCGATGTGCCGATCGAGTTCACTGAACCTACAATTTCCGAAGAAGCAGAGCCTTTCGCAGACCCGAGATTCTCTCATGCAATCACCACTCCCGACGACGCTGCGTGGCCACTCACAGCAAGCTCCACTGTCTCTTATGAGATGGCATTGCCTGATGTGCCTGAAGAGGAGGAGCAGTTCGTTTTGTCCCGGCAGTCTGGCCCGAGCTTGACCAGCACTCGTTCATCGCTTCGAGGAAGCCAGTCTGTGCCTGCTCTGCGCCAGAGCGTGCCTCAGACGCCGGAGGACGAGTTCAGGCGGCCATCGAGCGGCGCATCGGACACGCTTGGCAGCTTCGACATGCTTGCGGCGCAGAATGCTCTGAAGGAAGCTTTGGAAGTTGATGGACCGGCTGCAATTTCTCACCGAGCCAGCTGGGAGGATGATATTGACTACTGCTACGAGCACGAAGCTGAGGCTGATTGCGACTACGCGTGGGACCGGCCGTCGTTGGATATCGTGAGGGAGGGCTCTATAGAGACTTCCTTTGACAACGATGGCATCTTCGTCGCACCTCTCTCGGCTGGTCTGAAGCCGGCATCGACGTTGGGACACTCTGACATGCCAGCCCTCAGCCCCGCCAGTCAGACTTCCGTCAACGGACACGAAGCAATCACTCCTACCATTACCGCGCTGCCTGTTAGGTCAAACTTCTCTCATCCCAGAAAGGAGACGAACTACCGGGGCACCTCCCATCTCCACGTGAGGACAGCATCGCGAGCATCGAGTTTCAAGGAGTCTCACGGCTTCAACCTCTCGCCATCTCTTCTCATTCCAACGGATTTCCGCCAGCAAATGTTGGCAGACTCGGACACTGACGCGTATCCCACGGATGTGGGGAGACACGACACCAGCCACTTCGCCTTTGACGAGGAGCCCGTCCTGACGATTGAAACGCCTGGACTGTTCGCCAGAGACCGTGCCAGCACTTCAACAACCGGCAGCAACTCTTCCAGCCAAACCAGCCTGACCGAGGCTCGCCATACGTCGACCAACTCGACATGGACGGCGCTCACCAGGTACACGGGAAGCACGACCTTTGAGGGATGGAACCCAAAGTTTGAGGGTAGTGACCATTCGCGTTCCTTCAGTGCTGATGACTTTGCGGACCTCGGGTCGCCCAGAGGACGAAAGTCTACCATGACTCCGTTGCCCGAATCCGAGGAGGTTCTGACCATGTCGCGTTCCACGGGTGACATCCGCGCCGCTTCCGGATGCATCGACGCCAGCTTGTCCCAGGACTCTCTCCCGCTTGCCAAGATGAAGGAGCCGGTGAAGCAGCACCGACGCCAACGTGCGCAGACACTGAGCGCCCCGCCCCCGCCTGGGCAGTACGCCCTTTTTCCGCCTCTCTACGCCGGCAGCCGCATTTGAACGCCTGCTCGCCACTGAGTACACCTCCCGACCCATGACACCACACTACGACCTCACAACACATCTCATATATCTTGTTCCATAGACACACACACACACCTGGACGCGCGCCCCCGCGCGTTTCCTCTTCCGCAACGGCGGAGCGGCGCACCACACTATCAAACCTTCTACACCTTATTGTTTGTTTCTCGACATATCACGGCGTTTCAAGACAGTCGTGATTCGTATAGACTTTCTTGGCATATCTCGGAGGAGTTATCACCTGGGCTCTCATCATTTCGTTCACACCATAGACCAAAAATCCGGTTTGGTCATTCTTCGACTCCGACCACCAACCATCACTCGCTACACACACTCTCACTCACTCACAAGACGCCCATCAGCGCAACGCGCACAACGACCTACAGTTTCCTTACATTTGTCTACAGTCCGATCCGAAGGACTCACTCTTACTATACTACCACCACCAGCAATACCGCTACTACTGATACTGTTATTTTGTTGTACAAAAAAAAAAAGAAGGGCGCGAGCACAAAAGCCCACCGGAAGGGATTTTAAACCTCCGCCGGGGTTATGATTTGATGGATTATGACAAACCCCTTGTTTTTCCAGCACGGAGAAAAAGGGTGAAAGGGGGAACAGAAAAGCAAAAAACACTTGTAAAAAAAGTTTGGGAGGAGAGGGCCCGCGGAAGAGAGCAACCCAATGGAGGGATGGTGTTATGCATCTGTGCGATCACGAGAAGGACCACCTGCGCCCCTGGAGGGGTACGCAGTGAGGGGGACAGAGAGATGATGTTTCCCAGCTTCGGAAGTTTTGGGTTTTAAAAAAGGAGGTTTACCTTATTTCATCGCGGTTCGGATGCAAGCCGTGGATCGCTCCGAACAAGAAATTTCAACCCAAAAAAAGAGACTCCTGTTACCTGTCCCATTTCCTCCTACTATTGATCTCTGTCCTCCCCAATGACTTGCTGTGAAGATTTTCGCCCTATGATCAAACTTACGTTGTGAAGAGGCATGAACTTGGCGAAAAGGCGGGGTTGAGAAAGTAGCAGCAACACACCCACAAACCAGTTCACGCGATCAAAACATGCCGAGGTTTTGTTGCCTTACTTACACACAGTAAGGGCAGAGCGACGCAACGAAACCCTCGTGACGCATCGCATGAAAAGTTGGCAATTTCTGGGGAGATGCATGCGCTCCCTTGCACACCATCAGGTTCTGGCTGGGTACGGCAGAGCTGTTGGTTGGCGTGGTTGGCGTGCTGCGCAGTTTGGTGATGTGCATTATGCATTCGGTAGTAGACACACACATACGCACACCTTACCTTAGTAGCTTCGATGCGGAGGAGTGAGAGAGAGAGCCGGGGCTAGGTTGGTCTAGACTCGTGTCCCGCATTGTGTACTCTGCATGACGAACACGTCGACATGTCAAAACTTCGGATGGCTGGGCTGACCAAACTGATGTATCCCAACCCTCAACTACGCGAAAGAAGTTTATGAAGAGAGAATGCTGTGTTGAGTGTTTCCCAGTCAGACGTAGAGGCAACAGCAAAGCCATGATACTTCTCTTTCTATGTACTTTCGTCTGCCCAAATGAAGTTAACCTTGCCCTATTTGACAATCCTCCAAGATTTTTTGGTAGTTGGGACAATGGCCCTAAAACCAGCATCACCGTCAATTACAAGCTCCGTCCAACCCTCATCCTGACGGAAAACATATCCTCACCCTACACACCACACCCTGATTCCTCCTCCTCCATCCTCCCGAGGCACCTTGTTCATCCCTCTGCCCATCGCACATGTACACGCATACAGACATGCACACCACCTCCCTCTCTTCCCTCCCACCCATCTCTGTAACCCCTCTCCCTCGCGATATTCTCCCGTGTCCCGCCTGTACTTGGCCGAAGAAAAGAAAAGACCCTGAGCCCTTGGAGCGGGATGACACCCTTCTGCGGACCGGCGTCGATATCTGAGACGGGGGCAACAACACCGCCGCGGCCAATGGATTGTTTGACGTTTCCCCTCCGCGCGCGCGGCATGTTCTCGGACGGTCGGCGACACTCCGAAAGAAACCTTTCCCCCCCACCACCCCCGGCACCCTTGCCTCCGAGATTTTGAGCTCACGCGCTCCCCCCTTTCCAGAAGTGCACTGCATTGGCTTGACACCCACCACGACTACCACCACGACTACCACCACCATCATAGAATAGGCTCACGGCAGGCAGGCAAGTAGGCAGGGGGGTTCGAACAGCTGTCAACGACAACCCGCTTCAAGCATTCCTCCACGACGAAGACGCCTCGCCTCTCTCGTCCGGAACCCCTTCGACGTCGAGGAACTCGTCCAAGCGGCCGCCGCCGCCGCCATTCACGGCCGCCTCCCGCTCGAGCGTCTCGAGATTGCGCAGCAGTTCCCCCCTTTCGCGGTGGAGCGTCTCCCGCTCCCGCTCCAGATTCTGGATGTGGCGGCGGGCCATGTCCAGCACCTCGGCCTTGCTGACCCGCCTTTCCTCATTCGCTGCCGCCGCCGCCTGCGGGTCCGATTCGTCGCCGTCTCCGGCGCCGGCCGGGCCGCGGACCTGCTCCGGTAGGGCATTGAGGAGACCCTCGAATTGAGCATTGAGCCGATTACGATACTGCTTTTCGACCAGATTGTGAGATGCGCGTGTTCGTCGTTCTTCGAGGGACTCGGCCGGCTTTTGCAGTGCGTTTTTGGATGTGCGGGAGGCACTGCGCAGTCGGGGTGCCGGTGCCGTCTTGGTGCTCGATCCGGCGGATGAGGCGACCGATACCGACTTAACCGACCGACCGCTGACGCTGGTTCGGCCCGCGGGGCTGGTGGGTTCGTCATTGTCGTCGTTGCCACCGGCTCCGGGATCGGCTACGGCACGGCGCTTGCCCTTTCGCTGCGGCTTCCGGGTCCCGGGCGATGACGACGACGACGTCTTCATTGCTCCAGCTTCGCCCCTTCTATCTTGAGGCTCGTTATCATCGTCATCCCACGAAGGGTCTTTGACGTCGCTATCGGTCTCCATACTGCTTTTGCTGTGCTTGCGGACGTCGTGGTTCAATTCGGCCGCAGCGACGGCTGCAATGTTTGGTGTCAGTGTGACGGAGCTGCTGTCTTGAAGCCGAGGCCGCCATGGCGAAGCATGGAAATCAAAAGTGGTCGTGGGTGGTTGCGGGTGAGCTGTTACAGCTACCGTGGTGGAAAGTGGCGTGATGTCGGCATAGACTCCGCCGCCCAGGAACGACTGCTCACTCGTTGGCGGTAGTGGTGGTGCTGCGAATCCGAAATCGAATAAGTGACCACCGCCAACACCAACATTCTGGTTTCTGCCATCAGTACTCAGGCCGGCCGCTGCAGAGAGAGTGACAGGTGGGTTGACACCTGCTGCTGTTGTGGAGGAGGACGTTGCATCGACATGCTGTTGCGGGTTGTCGTGGTACACCGGGACTCCATATCCGGGCGGAAGCCATGCGGCGGCGTGGGCGGGTGCTCGTTGATGGCCCTGCAAATGGAGATGCAACGACGTCCCCGGTTGATCAGCAGCAATATTAGGCGCAGGCGCTGCCGCTGGACCGAATCGGTGCTGAAGACCCTGGTTGCCCTCTGCATGTGTCAACCCCAGAGTACCCAACTCGAGACCCAGGCCCAGGGCTGAAGGATGGAGCTGAGGGTGGTTTTGCTGGTGCTGCTGATTCAGGTGCTGGAGTCCTCCGAGATTGTGAATTTGCGGGAATTGTGCCGTCGATACGGATACGGGTATGGGTAATCCAGGAATACCTGCAATGGCCTGGACCTGATTAAGTGGTGTCGCTGTGGTCGATTCATTGATGGCGTTGGGCCGATTGTGGCCTGGACTCAGCTGAGTGGTCTGATTACCGGGCCGAGTGGCGTGGTGTTGGCGGTCGCCGACGTCGAAAGCCCCTCCGAAAACTTCGGGAGAGAAGTGCGGGGACAACGGCGTCGAAGCTATCATCTGCTGATAGAAATAATCGTCAGACTTTTTTCTTCTGTCTTCAACTCTTTTTTTCCTTTGGCGGAAGGACTTGTGATTTTCGAGGACACGGCCTGCTCTACTCTTGTGCGCCTCATCGCCGTCTGTCTCATCAGTTTGCCGAACGCTTGTTCAGAGAACATCACCTTGCCATCGCCCCATCCCGGGGTGGCACACAGACTTTCAGCTCCTTGATACTCCGCCGCCTCCCGCCCATATCCCCTACCAAGCACCGGAGGCGACCACCGACAGACAAAATAATGTAGAGAGTCTTGCATGGTCCTTGCATCGTGGCTCGACTTCTCATTGCGGAGGCCCATGGGGGAGGGGAGGGATCTGGCCCAGCTCGGTGCTACCCGCGTGGCATCATGTACTCACTCGCGCCTTTGATCGCTTGGTCTAGCGCTTGTCTTGTCACATTCGTATGCCGCTCAGGTCGGCAGATGAAGAAGGGAGCAACGAGGCATGACGCGGAATGAGTCGGTCGTTTTATTCAAGGCCTGACCGCAAGAAATGGGAGCCCCTGAAGGCCGCGCTCCGGGGAGGAAGGCACCGAACGGAGAAAAGTGGAATGCAACGCCGGGTGAGATACTTACTTCCGGGTCATCCACGAGATACTCGTAGAAGGGAGTGTTGTCGTTTGGCGTGTGCGCCATCGTATCGTCTTGCCGGGGGGTGGCGAGGGGTCTTGGTTCGATTGGAGAACCCCTTTCTGAATCCCACCGTCCGGCCCCAAAGCAACGCAAAGCCGTTGGTGATTTATACAGGTTTTGTTTGCTTTTTCGAATCTTCGACCTTGTTCCCGTATCTGCTTTCCAATCCCGGGACCGAGGAAAGGCCTCCTATCCGCGAATGGCCAAGATCGGGCGAGCAAGAGCAAACCAGCCACGATTGGGAGGCTCCGGACTAAGCGTGCGGCCAGACAATCCCAGTGGACGCAGGCTGCCGTTAGAAAGAACCAGACGAGCGTCTGGCCAGTAGTTCCGGAGCGGACGCCACGGCCTTCTCAGGGATTGCCCAAGAACAGTGGGCAATCGGGAGACAACTTGTGGCGCGGGATTCTCCCGTATACCGTCCCCGTGGAGTGACTTTGGTCTCTAGGCGGACCACACCTCCCCAGGACTAGGGTTCCGATAGAGTCAGCCGACCACGACAGCTGCTCAAGTGAATCGACTCTGTCGTAGTGTTCAAAGTTAGACTCGGGTGTCGTACGTACGGCGGCGGGGAGCGCGTTGCAATGCGGCCGGCGCCCAAGACGCCGGTAATCGGGGGGATCGGGGTGGCCTGGATTTATGCCAGAGTCACTCCACTCCAGGGCTGTCGCCAAAAAATCTTTGCTGCTGCGGCGCAGGGTATGCAGGACACACCGAACGAGTTCCGGACGACGTTTCCTCTTTGCTCTGCTTCGCCTAGTCGTGTTGGTGGCAGTCCAATTTATAAATGACCTGTCGTCGATGTCGTTTGTTGTTCCTCTTGAGATCTCGATCTATCTATCTGGACAGGGCAGTCAGTCTCTTCTCATCTTCTTATTTGTACGGCAAGCTAGCCGTGGCTTGTCCGGGGTGCTGAGTATCCTCTCTCATCCCCCATCTTCTTTTCCTATCGGGCCACTCTTCGTACCGAGCCCATACCCATCTTCAGTCGAGTCAAGTCGTAAGCCCTCTCTCATCTCCCTTTCTGTTCTTCTCCTTTACTCTCTCTCCTTTCCTTGTCTCATCTCATAGTCGGCTGCTTATGCGACTCGACTTACCGGCTGGAGCAAGTCTAGTAACTCACTGCCTGAATGGGCCTTTCCGCGTCCTCAAAGCTCTGTCAGCTATCACATTCGCAGTATCATCACTGACATTGCCAATGGATGGTGCCTTTGAGACTTGATTTTCTCGGGGAGGGGTTTCAGGTGGGCTTTATGAGGACCCGACGCGACAGATTAATATTCGATAGGGCAATTTCCATGTGAGCTCGGCTTCGGATAACGCAGTCCCCAGACCGCTCGAAAGGATCCGCGATTGCTGGCCGACCTGGACGGCATGGGGCGCCCGGAAGGCCCCCAAAGGCGTGTGCAGCGCCTACATGGATTCCGTCACCCAATCCTGAGCAGGGACTTGCCCGCGCGCCCAATCTTCCTTGGTCGTAGAAGCAGCTATACCCACAGTGGCCTGCATGATGCAGCTGTTCAAGTCGTGTCTGCGTATTATGCATTCTCGTCCGGGAAAGTTATTCTGCTTGACTTGGCCTTGGGTTTCACCATGCCCGGAAAGCTGCTGTCCCCCTCTCTCGAGGAACATACTGACAGACATTGAGACTAAGACAGAGATGAGATCTGTTGGTTCTCTGTTGGTGGTGGGAAAAGATCGTTGCTTGACGAAACTAGTGGAGGTCTGACTCAAGTGGTCCTGAATCTCGGATGCTCGTATCAGGGGCGGTTAGGTTGGCAACACGTGCCAAGGTTGGGAGTGGACTGACAAGTGTCAAGAAGAATCTTCTTTCCACTTGCCTCGTTGGTTGAGCCGCTGTATGACGCCTTTGTTCATTTTCGAGGAAGAGATGACCTCAAAGCCAGCTACATTGGTGCTCAGGTGGCTGGTTGAAACAATCTTGAAGCTGAGGGGGCCCGCTCCTCAGCCAACTTCTCGCCTTCTTCCGTAGCCCCAAGGGAAGGCTAGAGGATAAAGGGGAGTGGTCTTGATCTACGTCTGTCGGTGAGGATGCAGCCAAGAGCCTGATGATCTCGGGTCCCGATGAAAAGAAGCCTTTCCTCCAGGGTGAACAGCCGCAGCGTCATCAGGTAATGACCATTGGGAGTAAACTCGATGTATCAGACGCAGCGAACCCTAGGATGTTCTTTACTGTTTACGGGTATTGTCCCGCTAATTCTCCCTCTCAAATTGGGAGGGTTGGGGGCCAGTGCCTTACTTGCAGCTCCAGGACCTGAAATCATCGGGGCTGAGGCCGTTACGCTACGGTCGATGAGGGGCTTTGATGTGATTCGTAGTCCGTACCGGTCAGAATCTGACTGGTCTCCGTATTGGTTAACTCGAGTTGGCCGAGTGGCTCCATCGAGCTCTTCGTTTGCTGATCAGGGGATACCCTCGTGGTGTATTCCCGCCGCCTCGCTTCACGGAACCTCGGATGTCTTCTGCTCGACGGCGACAGAAGCATCGTGTCGGTTCTTCTTGTGTTCTGGTCTTGGGGCTAGATGACTGGTCACTCTCACTCTCGAGCAGTGCGAAATCGACTGTTGTCTGGTGCTTCAACGTTTGCTTTCACTGCGCGGGAGCAGGCCATGTGACCTGTTCTCCTGATCTTGGTACACATGGTGCGTGGTTTGTGACAGTTTGACCACCTTAAGCGAGGGTTTGACTTGCTTCTCGAGTACCTACCTTACGTACCTTACTCTGCACCGTTCGGAGTGTATCTCAGTCAGTCTTACGTTGTCTTCTGAGGAAGGCGTTGTGGGCTGCCCCTTGCCCTAAGACAACGCAAGGTAGGCAGCAGCAAGGTCAGACAGGCGACCTTCCATGAGGAAACATGTACCTACCGTATCTTACCTGAAGGTACATGGGCACATCATCTTACGGTCAGGTACGATGGTGTTGAAGGTTCCGTTCCGCTCCTTCCCCGTCCTGTCAAAACAGTAACCCCTGTCTCCCCTTCCCTACCTCAGGCAGTTGTCCATCCGGTGTCTTTCATCTTGCTCTATTACTGGCCTATTCCCGCAGGAAACAAGGTTCAGGGATAAGAAAGAAGAACATTCACCTGCCTTAGGTCTGTCCGTGTCCATGCAAGATGTTCATCACAGTATCACAGACTACCACTGAGTGTTTGGAAACGGAGGCTGCGGGAAGGTGCCTTGACCGTTGGGACCGTTAGTACCGTTGACCGTTGCATGTGGCGTTTTTTCTCGTCAGGGCTGCCATCAGCATTTGGACAGGTCTCAACTTGAGGTAACCTTCCATCAGACGAACCACCTCAGACAAAGGCACATGGCATAATCACGTGTAAGACGGTGAGTGGCACTTGATCTTGCTTCTATCTGATTTGGAAGAGCTCACATTCCCCTTATCCTTCCTTACCGTCTCCTCTCCTTCTACCTTCTCTATGTTGCGGCCATCATGCAACAGCAGCACCCAGCTCTTATGTCTTGTCTACTTACTCCCTCTTTCCCTTGGCCCATTCCCTCAAGACATTCTTTTTCAACTTGCCAGTGCTAGTCTTGGGCAGTTCATCAACAACCTCAACCTCCCGAGGCACCATGAACTTGGAAATGTTGCTCTGGTGCTTCGCCCACGAAATTAGGTCTTCCCCCTTCAAGCTCTTGCCTTCTTTGACAGTCACGTAGGCTTTAGGACGCTCGCCCCAATGTGAATCAGGCACAGCAACCACGGCCGCTTCGAGTAGATCGGGGTGTTGTACGAGCATGCCCTCAAGGGCCACCGATGAGATGTTCTCGCCACCTAGTCCCTCATTAGTCCGATGAAAAGTAACAGCTCGACAAGTTGACGCGTACCTGAAATGATAATATCCTTTGCTCTATCGAGAATCTGAGCCGATCCATCGGGATGCCAGACTGCGAGATCCCCAGAGTGCAGCGCGCCGCCGTCGAACAACTTCTTGGTGGCTTCGGCATCCTTGAAATACTCCTTGGCGCAGATATTACCGAAGAAAACAATCTCGCCGATTTCTTTCCCGTCCTTGGCGACATCAATAAGAACACCCTCCGGCTGATCTGTCTTAATGATTCGAATGGGAAGACTGGTCAAGAAGCCATGACCCTGGCGAGCCATTTTGGCGTATTTCTCATTTGTTGGGAGTGTCTCCCATGATGGCATATGGTATCCTTTGGTGATGGGACCATAGGTCTCCGTCATACCATAGACATGGACGGGGAAGAGGTTCAGGTTCGTCTAACCACGTCAACACTATTTCTGCGAGTCCCGGCAGCCGGATCAAGCGTTACATACCATCTGCTCGAACAAGTGCGCACTGGGTGGACTGGCAGCTACAGTCACCCGTACTTCTTGGGGCAACTTCTCGGCCTCATTCGCCGAACATAACAGGGTGTTGACTGTTGGTGCTGCCTGCAATTGGACTACTGTGTCAGCTGTCTGCTCTTCACACTCTGTGGATAGGAATCACTTGCGTTGAAGTGTGTGATGCCCTCTTCCTTAAGCAACTTCCAGATGAGAGGGTAGTCAATCTTTCGCAAGCACACGTGCGTTCCACGCACAGCCGTCACCGCCCAAGGGAATCTGTACTATGTCAGTAGGTTCAAACAAGACTCAAGGGCCCCGGACTGGAGGGTAGGGCTGCTTACGTCCAACCAACGGCGTGGAACCTAGACATAGTCAGCAAATGCCTGTCGACAATATATTCTGATGCACTTACATGGGTAAAGTCCATAGCTAGATGGTAGAAATCCATGGTCAGCTAGGTGCAGCAAGCATGAGCTGGGCTTACCCGTGACTTACATATTTGCAACGGCCAGTGTGATAGTTCAGTCCTGATTCGATGACGTTTCCAACAGCTACATGTAAATACAATCAGCACCACTTGATACCTGGGCAAGAGTCTCAGGCCGGTTCATGCGTCACTTACCAGCCAAATAGGCCCCGCGGTGCGTGTAGACTACGCCCTTGGGCCGACTCGTGGTTCCTGAAGTGAATGGGATTGCAAGCATATCATCCTCATTACCACATTGTGAGTGAAGGCCGGCCCAACCCTGGCCGTGTTGCTGGTCATACTGCAGGCCCTCCAAGACGGCATCATCAAAGGGGCCACTCAAGGCGCCCTCCGTGTAGTCGGTATCAGTGTCGATAATCAAGGGGACCTTGGGGTGTTTCTCCTTGAACTCGTCAAGCAGGTGGACGAACTCCTGGTCGACGATGATTGAATCGACCTCGGCAAAGTCGAAGATGTAGGTGATGTCATCCGACTTCAATCTGTAGTTGACACCCACATTAACCCCACCAGCGGCGGCAATGCCAAAGATGGACTCGAGAAAGGCGGGTGTATTGGGCGCAAGAATTCCGACCCTCTTGAAGCCGTGCTTCTTCAGGTAATAAGCAAGGCCGCGCGCTCTGTCTGCGAACTCTATGTAAGACCGGCGCAGAGTTCGGCCGTTGGCTGTCACGTGGAAGATGGCTTCTGCATCGGGCTCTATCGCGGCGGCACGCTCCAGAAAGAAGGTTGGCGAAAGCTGGTGTATGTGGTGGTTCGGACGGGGCTCGTCGACCTTGGCTGTGGAGGATGAGAGGAGGTGTCCGAGGATGTTCTTAAGACGAGATGGAGGGCTAGACATGGCTACTGCTGACTGGAAGAGCCTCTTCTACAGAACCGAGAGGTGAGACGTAAGAACGAAGATGAGATTGTCAATCTCTGCGTGCTGGATATGAAATCGTGGGTTCGTTTGAAAGCTGGCGATTATAAACCTATGAAGGCAAATGTGGAAGAAATGGTGGTGAGTGAGAGGAAGGACTTGTATGCAGCGATTGAAAGCCAGCCATTCTTACTACCAGCCACAATCCCTCTTCCACTTACCCGATCCCCGAGCCAGGCCTAGCTGTCCCTGCTGGCATACCCCAATTGTCCAGCTGTTTTGAGACACTTTGACGGACCGAACCCGACAGCTCCAGCTCCCAGCTCCTGCTTAAGCGGCTGTCCTCGGTAGGAAATTACCCCACACTTGGCAAGTGTGCTTCCAGGGCTGCTCCCCACCAGGTTCAAGCTCCCGTCCCAGGCAAGTCGGGGTAATTGCGCTAGACCAGATTGGACCTCTTCGATATTAGGTAAGCAGGACTCACAGACAAGCGCATGAGCCCGCGCCAGGGGTGTGAAAGAACGTCCGGCCAGCAGCGAGGAAAGGGCCCACTGCACTTAATGAAAGTCGCGTCGTCGCTGTGCCACCGTGCTGTAGCCTTGCGCGACCAGGGAAAGTGCAGCGCGAAGTGCCAACGCCCGAAATTTTATCACCGACATCAGCGGGACCTCCTTGAAGCACCGCCATCTCTATCCTTCCCACCTATCCATCTCGAACATCAGCGATTCGAGTCATACGTCACTTCCTCACATATTCCGCCTCGAGCAGAGCTTTCTTTGCGACGGTATCACAACGACACCAGCCGATACTTTTCTCGACCTTCCGACCTCTCGCCAGCAATCATGGCAGCTATGTGAGTGCCCATCACCCGCTCCTTCTTTCGCACAGATCCCATGCTCTTCGAATTGCCGAGAAACCATGAGTTTTGTGCGATACATTATTCTACAATCAGGCGCAATTGGTGCTTCTCCCACTTTTCTATCGTTCGATAGCTAACGAGATGCCCCTTCCCAGAGAGAGCTTCGACGGCATCTACTTGGACCTCTCCAAGGAGAGCGGCAAGTGCAGATTCGCCGAGAGCGGTCTCGGTTGGAAGCCCTCCGGCGGCGGCGATACCTTCACTCTCGACCACAGCACAATTGCCTCGGCGCAGTGGAGCCGAGCTGCCAAGGGCTACGAAATCAAGATCCTCAACCGAGACTCGCGCATCATCCAGCTCGATGGGTTCCAACAAGAGGTAAAGAAGCGCGCATCAGTCGTTAGACTCAGTATGGACGGAATGCTGACTTGGTATTTGGCGTGAAGGACTATGAGCGTCTTGCCAAGCTCTTCAAGAACTGGTACAGCACCGCGCTCGAGAATAGGGAGCACGCCCTGAGGGGATGGAACTGGGGCAAGGCCGACTTTGGAAAGGCCGAGCTGTCTTTCAACGTCCAGAGCCGCCCTGCGTTCGAAATCCCCTACTCCGAAATCTCAAACACCAACTTGGCGGGTCGTAACGAGGTCGCGGTCGAATTCTCAGCTCCCACGGACAAGAACGATACTGGCACTAATGGCCACTTGGGCGGTGCGCGCGGAAAGGGCAAGAAGGCGGGAGCCGGCAAGGATCAGCTCGTTGAGATGCGGTTTTACATTCCCGGAACTGTCAAGAAGGAAGTGGAAGGCGACGAGGCTGGTAGCGACGCCGGCGGCGAAGAGGAAAAGAACGCCGTCACCCTGTTCTACGACACCCTGATGGAGAAGGCCGAGATTGGTGAGACCGCAGGCGATACTATCGCTACGTTCCTGGACATTCTGCATCTCACACCCAGGTATGTGCAAATTGCTATAGCTGTTTATGGCGTAACAGTTCCTGACACCCCGACAGAGGTCGTTTCGATATCGACATGTACGATGCGTCTTTCCGTCTCCGTGGTAAGACGTACGACTACAAGATCCAGTACGACGCCATCAAGAAGTTTATGGTGCTTCCCAAGCCAGACGAGACCCACGTGCTTCTTTGCGTTGGCCTGGACCCGCCCCTGCGCCAGGGTCAGACAAGATACCCGTTCATCGTCATGCAGTTCAAGAAGGACGAGGAGGTGACGATTGATCTTAACCTCACCGAGGAGCAAATAGACGAGCGGTACAAGGACAGACTTCAGCCTCACTACGAGCAACCTCTCCACCAAGTCATCACCTACATCTTCCGAGGACTTGCCAACAAGAAGATCACAACGCCTGCCAAGGACTTCCAGACGTATGTATCTCACCTTCCGTGCGAGAGAATCTGTGCTAACGTCCATGCAGCCACCGCAATCAGTTCGGTATCAAGTGCTCGATCAAGGCCAGCGAAGGCTTCCTGTACTGCCTGGAGAAGGCGTTCATGTTTGTGCCCAAACCTGCGACGTACATTGCCTACGAGCAAACAGCGTCCATCACATTCTCTCGTGTTGGAGGTGCCGTTTCTGCGCTGTCAACCTTTGACATCACCGTGCAGATGAAGAACGGCGCTGGCTCATCACAGTTCAGCAACATCAACCGCGAGGATCTCAAGGGGCTCGAGGAGTTCTTCAGACTCAAGGGATTGCGCGTTAAGAACGAAATCGATGAAGAGACCAACCTCATCGCCGCAGCCATGCGCGACCAAGCCATGGACGATTCGGAAGAGGAGGTTGTTGGTGCCGCCAAGGCCGACCGTGGCTCAGCTGACGAGGATGAAGAGAGTGTCGATGAGGACTTTAACGCCGAGAGTGAGAGTGACGTTGCCGAAGAGTTTGACAGTGACCATGAGAGCTCTGGCTCAGGTAGCCAAGAGAGCGACGTGGATAATGACGACGGCGACGATGGCGAGGATGACGAAGAAGAGGAAGAGGAGAGGCCCAAGAAGAAGAAGAAGACGGGTTGATTGCGCCCTTTCGACTTTTGGGTGTGTTTATCGGCTGGGTGGAGAGGCTGCTGGGCGTTTTTATTTGGGTGTCGGATGAAATGTAACACTATGATTATCTACTTTGACGCTGGCCGACTGGGCGTCGCGGCGAAGCAGAAGAGGTTAATATTTTTCTTGGAAGAGACCCTGCGAGTCTTTTGCAACACGAGGATTCACTGAGTGCGTTTTGGTTTAGTATCAAGTGACTATTTACTCACGGCAGTATGCAAGTGGGGTCCATGTAAGCTTGCCTACTACTCCGTACCTCAACCTTGTACGCCAGTGAGTCAACCCAGCACATGCCACATGACCACCCAAAAGTCATTTTGTGTCTTGTCCATCAAGTCCCATCCGTTTACTACTTGTGTTCCCTAGGTCCTCACGACCGCATGAAGAAGCTACAGCGGAACCTGCCGCATACATTACACGTACAAACACCATGGACGAGCCCATCCCGCTCTTGGGCTCGGGCTCGGGCTCAGGCTCAACGGTAACGATGCCCCGCCTCGTTCTCGGCGTCTACCAGCTCAGAGGGGAAGAATGCTTCGCGGCCTGTCTGGCGGGGTTGGAGGCCGGGTACCGGCACATTGACACCGCGCAGCTGTACGGGAACGAGGAGGATGTTGGGAGGGCTGTTGCGGTGTTTTTGCGAGGGCGAGACGTATCAAATGGGTGCGGTGAAGGGGGAAGAATCGAGAGGGAGGATCTGTTTTTGACGACCAAGGTTGGACGGTGGGAGGGCGACGGGGAGAAGATGTATGAGAGTGTCTTAAGGAGTGTGAGGAGAGTTGCTGGGGAGGAGGAGGGAGGGTACGTTGACTTGGTTCTCGTACATCGTCCCGTTGCGCGGTGGAGGGATATGTGGAGCGTGTTGGGGAGGTTTGTGAGGGAGGGTAGAGCGAGGGCGATTGGGGTTAGTAAGTTTGGGATTGGGGCGCTGGAGGAGATGAAGAAGGGTTGTGAGGGGGTGTTGCCGTGTGTGAATCAGATTGAGGTGAGTATCTACGGTACCTACCTACCTAGGTACTCATTAAAAATGACTCTCGCGGTACTGGGAGGTAAAATGCGGCAAAATTTTGCACAGCAAGGTTGATAGGGATATGCTGATGAGTGTCGCGAGAATAGCTTCACCCGTGGTGTCAACAGCGGGAACTAGTCGCCTACTGCCAACAGAACGGTATCGTGGTACAAGCGTACAGCCCACTCGCGCGCGGGCAACGGTGGACGGACCCGGTGTTGAGAGAGGTCGTGGAGCGGGTCCGGCGCCGCGTCGGGGTCGGTGTCCGGGAGGAACCGATACCGGTATTCGGACGACGGGTGGCGGGGACGAACTGGCGCAACGACGACCCACAGGACCGGGAGACAGCAGTCACGAAGATGAGAGAGATCACGGAGGTTACAGTCACGCCGGCGCAGGTGCTGATCCGGTGGTCTCTGCAGCGCGGATTCGTGCCGCTTATCAAGAGTGCGAACGCAGAGAGGATCAGGGAGAATGGGGACGTGTTTTGGTTCGAGTTTGATGAGGTCGAGATGGGCATGTTGGATGGATTGGATTTGGGGACCGCGGGGGCGCTGTTTCCTAAGAATGTGAGTTGATGGCGGGATACATCACTCACCTTCACTTGGGGCTTCCCATGAAAACCATCCTAACGGAAATGCTCTGGAATAGTCTGGTAATGCAGCCGTGGGGCTATAGGCACCGTGTAGAGACTTCATTCCGAGTTTGCAAAGTACAAGCTAAGATTGATTTCTGTGTGTGGCTGTAGCCTAACTCTATAGAGAGTCCCGGATTCACTTTCATTCAATTTTCATGACAGTATGTTACAGTATTGAATATAACCGCAACACACAGCAAAAGCGTGGATACCTTAGTACGCCTGCTAATGAGGTTACTACAAGTGCCCCACGCAGACAGCGCTCCCAGCGGCCGGGGCAGGACGGAAGGTTCGCCGAGACCCGAATCGGGACCTTGTTCGGGCGCGGGTTGGTGGCGTTGACGCTGGCGCATGAACTCATCAAGTGGGCGGTGGAACCATTCCAGGGCGGCCAGCACAGGTGCCAGCTTCACCTGGAATCTTCGATGCTCATCCTGGGCCATCCCACCTCGCGCTGCGCTTGCGGAGGGGCAGCGAAGCAGTGACCTACCTGCCTGCTTGCAGCTTGGGGAAAGATCGCCAAACAAACAAAAAACATCGACAAACGTCTCTGCCCTTTGACCTGCGAGCGCTTGACTTTAACCTTTTAAATTTCCTCCAATTCTGTACTCCATCATCGTCATTTCAGATACTTGACCCGCTTTCTAAAGACGACGACCATGAGCGAAAGCAGCTTTCAGCGTCCGTTGCGCGGCGGTTGCCAGTGCGGGCGCAACAGTTACATCATCGAGGTCCCGCAGGGCACCACCGAGAAAGCCCAGGTGCTATTCCATACAGACTCAATGCACAGTAAGTGGCTTCGTCTGGCCAATTTCTCGTGATTTCCGTGAGAAGGCGTTCTCAAATAATCCCGCCGTGCATACAGCCGATCATGCCTCACCTCTTCGCGTCTTCGAGAGCAGAAGCTCCGCTAACCCATGATCTGATGCGCAGGAGTTCCTCTCGCAACCCCACTGGCCGCCATGATCCGAGTGCCACTCTCGTGGTATCACAGCTCAACCCACGCCTTCTACCCGGACGAAAGGCACTCGGCGATCCGCCGCGTTTTCGAATCACCCTCCAACCACCATCCTTCGAGACGAAACTTTTGCGGCTTCTGCGGCACGCCGCTGTCCTACTGGACCGAGAGACCCCCTACCGAGGCGGGGTTCATCCACCTGACCCTTGCGAGCCTGCGAGGTGAAGACCTACGAGATCTGGAAGATCTGGGGCTGATACCAGAGTTTGAAGAGCCGGAAGAACAGCCCGCTGTTCCGACAACAACCACGGTAATTGGGAGGGAAACCCAGGGCGTCCCTTGGTTCGAGGGCATGATCGAGGGTACCCGTTTGGGCAACTTGCGTCACAGCCAGGTTGTTGATCATAGCAGAGACGGGAAAATTAGGGTTGAATGGGAGATTGTAGAGTGGACCGAGGGAGACGATGCTGCCGACGTGGCCGCAGCAGCGGATGGCGATGTTAATATGACGACAAATCATCCCGGAAAACGCAAAATGAACGACCGAGAAGACGAGGATGCGGCTGTCGACGGCATGCATTAAGCCTTGTCCATGCCGTGCATTGCAGCGGCAGGGTAGGTCGTAATGAATCCAGGGCCGTCTCGAGCTGGGCCGGCTCACCTTCGTCCCGGCTTCCGTACACCTCGGTGAGGCTCCGGAGAGAGTCTCCAAAACAAATACTATGCTTCTGGCGCAGACTTTGTCCCGTTAGTCTTGGAAAATTGGCGCAAAGATGTGGCAGTCCCAAAGATGGCACATTTGATTTGCACACATCAGAGGATGTGCTGCGTGGCAGTTCCAGAAAGAATTGAGATGAGGTTCAAAGAGGCAGACAGGCATGCGCGCTGTACTGACTGCAGCATCCACGATGAAAGCAGCAAAGATGAAGGTACCTTGAGATAGCTGTAGACGCTGCCATGTACACACATGCCCCAGCAGGGAATATAAGTTGCAAAATCTCCGATGATCTCCCGGAATTCGTGTGTTTTTGTGTCGTTTTGGGCTTCCGCTACCTTGACCAAAGGCCTGTTGGCTGTAAGTGAAGGCCCCGCCAGCCGGGCAGACGGCTTCGTCAACCGAAATCGAGAAGACACAAAGCAGTTGCATCGTTTCCTTGGATGACCGGGTAAGGCGTTGGCCCTCCGCGTAGAAACAACAGATCGGTGGTTCTTCATGTGATACGGCGTGTTGTAATCGCGCAAACTAAGGTGCTTACGCTGGGGCTGTCGGGCTTGGAGGGGCGGAATTGGATTTCAAGCAGGATGCAGCTCTTCGTAAAGTCGTATCTGTACATCCATCCATGAGCCGCTTGAGAAAAGCGCCGGACGGAGAAAAAGGAACCGCAAGAAGTCTTGTGATAACGCCAGGTGTTCTGAAGTTGAGATGCCGTCTATATCAGAGGCTTGTTATGAAGCTGGGGACGAGAAACCTGGATGGTGCGGAGATTATGGGACGATAGCCGGAGTTGGAGAAGCTTCTTGGAGTGACATTGGACGAGCCGAGTGTAGGTAGAAACAGGTGGAAGGGAGACTCTCCCGTCCAGGGTCCGCTCACCGAGAGCAACGGGATTTTGTTCGCGGACTTGGGGGTTTCCTGACATTTTGGACTGGGCGTGACCAAAGTAAGGGAAATCGTGGCAGTAGCGGCTGGTTACCCGTTGTCTGGGAGTCGAGGAGACCTCGGGAGGATTCCCCGTGGCCATGGTCGGTCGCCTTATGCGAGCGATTGCGTAGGACGAGACCTTGCAGAGTGTGCTGCGAGCACTGCTCCATGTCTGCTACCAGCCGGTCCTGGCGAGGCAATCAGACATTGGGATCAGCTCAGATTGCGCTAGCGGCCGGCGGAATTGAGCCGTCACCGGAGTTTTGGCGACAGCGTTTGGCGATATGCATGTCGCCAGCCATCCAGTGTGCATGTGTGTCGGTACCGGTATGTGTGTTTTACGCAGTCTGTGTGTGATGTGTAGGACAACCTGGTGCGTGGGCTACAGAGACTGCAGCGAATTCATGCTGGCGCTTGTGCCGGATAGAGACAAGTGTCCAATCATATAAGTTGGGAGATCGTCAGGTGAGGAATCGAGGTTTGTTCGTGTTTCGAATTGGCTCTTGGAGGCTGGTGCTGGTAAACCGTAAGACGAGCTGGGCAGAGAAAAGGTCATGTTTTGACGGATAGACGGGCCGTCGTGTGCTCTCTAGACTCTGGGAAGCGGCGGCGGAGAGGAGAGAAATGGGGGGCACTTGGGAAAAAGGGGACCCCACGGCGGGGTAATGGAAGGCGCCCCTGGCCTAGGCGCAGATGCACTTCCCCTGTTGGGTGTCGGGTCGAAGAAACCCCAAGGAGGGCAAGAAGGGGGTTGATACTTGCCTATTCGTACCTTCTTTTCCATTGCCTCCAAATTCACTTGGAAAGAGGCATCGTGGCGAGGACGTGCTTGCACCCCGTCTCACAGATTTCCATGTACATGTACATCAATGTTGCACAAGGTTACTTTATTGGCGGCAGCTGCCGTGGACATGTTCTTACTGCCTTCATTCCTTCCATCTTTCCCGTAGCCTCTGCTGACTCTAGCGAATGGAACATGACGATGCGCTTCTTTTCGGTGTTCTATGCACATTCTACTGTGGGAAAATCCCCGCGCCATCTGGGTTACGAGATAGGTACACCGCCCAAAGTAGACGCTACCGGCGGGCAAAGAAAACTCACGTTGGACGCCTCATCTTTACGAACCAAAGGTAGGTAACTTGTCAGATCACGTCTCCGACCCATACCTCCAACGCCGACGCCAATGCCAATGCCAACGCCAACACCATCCATCTTCGGGCCATGTTCTAGTCCTAGCTTCTCGGTGTCGACGGTCCGACATTGGAGACGTCCAGAGTACCAGCTTGACCAAGGCGCTACCTGATACCACGTCCACCCGTCCCATGTCGTTGTCTGATGTGCCCAGTCTGTACCTCACTCTCACTGCACACCTGCACGCTTGGTACAGACGGATACCTTGACACGATGCGGGTGTTTGTCCCATCTTTTTTTTCTCTTCCTTCCCTGCCCTGTCTACCTTAGTTTATTATACTCGAGTAATCCTTGTATCTGGCTACCTTTCCTTTTGCCTAAACCTACCAAGGACGTCCAAGTACCCCCGTCCATCCCAAGGTCACAATGCCGTTTTAATTGCGCCGCGCTGCTTCCTTCCGCCTTTTTTTTGCATCTTATAAGTATCGTGGCAGCACCTCACTGCCCATCCGTATGATCCCATCTTGCTCCCTCTTCTCTCCGTCGCCTCCTTTCACATCTCATCCCTCTTCTCGATCTCTTTTGACCACTTGTTATTAAGTGGTTCGTCTCTTGTCGGGGCAAATAATCTACTCTTGGCTGACCCATCATCATCCCACCGTCAAGCCCATCGAAACCCCTCCGTCAGTCTTAGCGTAAGTGCCTCGCAGACTGCCAACTCTCTGAGAATCATAATACCAACTCTCCCCTCCGTAGCAGGTCACCCTTCAAACCCGTCCATCATGTCTCTTCCCAACGACTTCCTTTGGGGCTTTGCCACCGCATCGTACGTATTATTTCATCTCAACATCAACCCGGCTCGGCCCATCCCCAATGCCCCGGTCTGGTTGTTATCACCATGCATATTCGCGCCCTCTTCCGCCGATATCCCGATTTGGACGACTTACAAGCATTCTCCCACCACACTTCGCCCTCCTCCCTCCGTCTTTCCCGTCCCGCCTGCAAATTCCACTTCCCCTCCGAGCTGCCCCCACTCTCATCTTTCCCCTCTCCCCTCATTTAGCGACCACGACGACACAACATGCGAGACCCCTGCTGACGCTATTTGTCCACCACTACAGATACCAGGTTGAGGGTGCCGCCGAGAAGGACGGCCGTGGTCCTTCCATCTGGGACACCTTCTGCGCCATCCCCGGCAAGATTGCCGATGGCAGCTCCGGTGCTGTCGCTTGCGATTCCTACAACCGCACTGCCGAAGACATTGCCTTGCTCAAGTCCGTTGGCGCAAACACCTACCGCTTTTCCCTTGCCTGGTCGAGAATCATCCCTGTCGGTGGTCGCAATGACCCCATCAACCAGGCCGGCCTTGACCATTACATCAAGTTCGTCGACGACCTCCTTGAGGCTGGCATCACCCCCTTCATCACCCTCTTCCACTGGGATCTTCCCGATGGACTCGACAAGCGCTACGGTGGTCTCCTGAACCGTGAGGAGTTCCCTCTCGACTTTGAGCACTACGCCCGCATCGTCTTCAAGGCCATTCCCAAGTGCAAGAACTGGATCACCTTCAACGAGCCTTGGTGTTCCTCCATCCTCGGCTACAGCAGCGGCTTCTTCGCCCCCGGTCATACCTCAGACCGCAGCAAGTCCGCCATCGGTGACTCTTCCCGCGAACCCTGGATCGTTGGCCACAACTTGCTCGTCGCCCACGGCCGCGCAGTCAAAGTCTACCGCGAGGAGTTCAAGCCCACCAATGGTGGCCAGATTGGTATCACCTTGAACGGTGATGCCACTTACCCCTGGGACCCGGAGGACCCTGAGGATGTTGAGGCCTCTGACCGCAAGATCGAGTTCGCCATTTCCTGGTTCGCTGACCCAATTTACTTCGGCAAGTACCCTGACTCCATGCTCAAGCAGCTTGGGGATCGCCTGCCCGAGTTTACGCCCGAGGAAATCGCCCTTGTCAAGGGATCCAATGACTTCTACGGCATGAACCACTACACGGCCAACTACATCAAGCACAAGACCACCCCTCCTGAGGAGGACGACTTCCTTGGTAACCTCGAGACCCTCTTCGAGTCCAAGAGCGGTGAGAACATCGGCGAAGAGACCCAGTCTTTCTGGCTGCGCCCTAACCCCCAGGGCTTCCACAACCTCCTTGTCTGGCTCTCCAAGCGCTACGGCTACCCGCCCATCTACGTCACAGAAAACGGTACCTCCCTCAAGGGCGAAAACGACATGCCCCTTGAGCAGATTCTCGAGGACGACTTCCGTGTCAAGTACTTTGACGGCTATGTCAAGGCCATGGCCGATGCCCACGAGAAGGACGGTGTCAACGTCAAGGGCTACATGGCGTGGTCCCTCATGGACAACTTCGAGTGGGCCGAGGGCTACGAGACTCGTTTCGGCGTCACTTTTGTCGACTATGAGAACGACCAGAAGAGATACCCCAAGAAGAGCGCCAAGAGCCTCAAGCCCCTCTTTGACAGTCTCATCAAGAAGGCCTAATCATACATCACCATGTGTGAGTGTTGACGCATAGGAAGAGCAGGTTAAAGGGCAATCCATTAAGCTCGGATATGCATATCATTTATGAAAATGTACAGAGAGCACTGAGCTGCTCATGACGATGTATGAAGATTTTTTTGTTGCGATCCAATATGTAGTTTGGATATGAAATACCGAATTGAGAAGGCTTAAATCTGATGTCGATCATAGAGTGAACTGGACTAAGAGATATGGGTTGTCTCGCTGGATTGTGATTACCGGCTAAACTTCATGTCTTCGGTTACATTTGAACCTCGCTTGAAAACTCCATGCAGGTATCACTCAGAACTCACATGGCTTGTCAACCAGCAATTGAGACAGCCTTTGTGAGCCATGAAGAACTGCCGAACCAGACTTTGGGCTAAGGTGGTTCCTTAGTCAACAGCGCACGAATCGCGCCGGCTCGACCTTTAATCCTTCTCGCTTTTTCTGTGTCTTTATGTGGATAAAGCATATTCGCTGGATGATGAATTTGCTGGCTTTCATTTATGACTTGCCTGTAGTACATAGGCCTTTCATAGTCGCGAGCGTCGTAGATGTCACGGATCTGGAGAGGGCTCTTCTCGTTCATTCATGCCTGTCAGAAGTCGTCTCTACTGATAGGCCTGCTTCAAAGAGTGGCCATGAGCGTGAACAACGGTCGGAATCTGTCTTATTACTTCGTCATTGGAGGTTCTTTAGTTTTCAAGATTGCCATAGGTGCGTTGAAAAGCTTACCTTTTGCAGGAACTTCTTTACGTGTATATGAGCATTGTATTCTAACACAAAAGCAAGGGTATCGGATTACACATCTATGGAACAAACACCAACGGAGGTTTTGAACCTGGTCTCATCTCCTTTCTGTATCCTTTCCCGGCTTGGTGCCTAGGGAAGCTCTACACAAGCGTGACGAGGATCCTCAGGTGAATCTATTTGCTTTCCATTCTTGTTTCTCCATTTGTATGTTGGAAGTGATCCGTATACTTCCGCTGGCTCTGTCTGTGGAGGGGGCCGAAGGTCATATTGAAAGTCGTCATGTTTGTGCTGTGGTGTTTCCCTCTCCATTGTCACTTCCATTCTTGCCCGCCGACTTCGACGACGCCAGAAGACAATTCCTAGGATGAGCGTAGCAATCGCGAGCACACCGCCGATAGCTATACCGGCTATGGCTCCGGTTGAGGGTGAGACAGTAGGTTCGGATATGGGTTCGCGATTATCAGCCGGGGACCCGGCTGGGCTCGTCCCACTGCCATTGTCAGATCCCAAAACTTCCCATACTCCCTTCCAGGACTCCTCCCAATTGTTGTTCCCCGCCTTTATTGCCGTGTCAGCTTCCTCGATGGAAACGACGCGGGAGGAAAGCTGGATATTGGGACCAGGGGCCTGGCCAAGCCACCACTTGGACTGGCCCCAGTTGGCGCCGAGAAAAGCATCCTGTAGAAATGCGCGACCCAGGGCGTATCTCCCAGATTCGCTGTTGAAACACGGGAAGTACGGCGTTGGCTTTGCTGCAAGAGGCTCTGATAATGTGAGGTTGAGATGGAGAAAAGGCACGCGGATCGTTAGGGGCTCGGTATTAGTGCCTGAGAGGAACTTAAAGGATAGTGCTGATGCCGAGGAGACGATTCGGCTGTACGCTTTTGATTCAGTATCCCATAGGTACAATCCGAGTTTCGCATCGTAGTTCACAGGGAGGTGTGAGGCAATGTTATCGCAGGTCGATTTTGGGAGGGTGAGGTAGGGAGCACAGCCGTCTATTGATACGAGGAGTCCATTCTGGATCGAGTTGTTTCCAGCGGCGAGGAGTCCGTCCTGGCGGAGACCGCCCTGGCTTGTGAAATTGAATGGCGATACACCCTGGATCACTTCGATGCTGATGTCTCTTAGGGTGATGGGGTTATCGGTGTAATCTCCATCTGACACGAGCACCTCGCCGGTCAGTCGGTTTTGATCGTATCCACCGAAAACCAGGGACCCGCCGATTCGTGACCAGACGGAGCCGATGTGCATACCGAACGAGTTGGATGGTATATCCTTCTGCGTCCACAACATGCCCGGGATAAGACTAGCATTGATCGGGTAGGTGCCGGTAGAGAAGGACTGGTTAATCATATTGGGAGCGCCCACGCCCAAGCAGCCCGCGAAAGCCGGATACCACTGCCCTCCCGGATACGTGAGCATCTGGTCGCCCAGTAACGCGAGACTCGTGTTCACAACTTGATGTACGGTATCAGATGTGCCTGATTTCAGCCGTATACGGTCGACCCAGAACTGAGCCGGCTCCCCGGCCGGGTCTATCCCCACCATCCAATTCTTGATGTTTGGCCGGAACACGATGCCGGAGGTAGAGCCGCTGCCGACCTGCGAGGCCTCGGCGCTGTTGTACGTTCCAGCTTTTGATGCGTAGCAACCGTTGGAGTTGTTGAATTTGCAGTAGCTGGTCTGGATGATCCATGATTGGAAGGTGTGTCCCGGGTAGAGTGCTAGGTCAAAGTCGGCTCCGAGTGTTACTGAGACTGCTTGCCATGGGCCATCGGGGCCGAAGGTTGCTGAAGACCATGTTGCTTCGAATGGAGTTGGAGTTTGTGTATTAGCAAGAATAGGGGATGTAAGAAGGAGGAGAAGATTGAAACATAGTATTAATGTTTGGTAGACGATAGCCATTGTTACTGGTCTCAATGATCAACACCGACGGCGTACCATACTACGTAAGTAGATGATGAAGTTGTAGTTGTCTGGTGCAACCCAATGAAGGGGACCATGATGAATAAGAAGGTCACAACATGTGAGAGGAGGGAAGAGGGTCGAGAGCCCAAAAGGCGGCTCGAGTTGTTTGCTCCAGCATCACCAGCTCAAAGAGCCTTTGTCTCGTGAAAGTTGCAACCGCCGAGATCACCAACAGAGAAAGGCACTGTTGGAGCCAACACAACTCACAAGCATTTCGCCTGGCGCGTTCTCTCAGATTGGTCAGTTAAGTGGGACTCTGCCCAACTTGACCTGCAGAGAGCAACAAAATTGGGCTTCAGCCAATAGCGTCGAGTCCCAACTGACCGGTTCGAGACAACAAGCGCCCTGTTTGATTTGATTCCTGCTTCGGCCGAGAAAACCAACGCAGAGACACTCGGGTACCTTACGCGGCTTGGGAAGATCTCGGTTCACAAGATGACAGCAAGACAATGTTTCGTCTCAGCAACAGGCCAAGAAGGCCAGCCGCTGCCGACGCGGTGCTTGCCGAGGAATCACGGAATTGCGGCAGGCATGGCATACATCGTGACTCCATGTGGCAGTCTCTCCGGCGTCAGGGCAAGAAGGCGGCTACTTGGACTTGGCAATGTCTTGCCATTGGCCTGACCCCTTGCAGATACTTAAGCATGCTTCCCAAACTGGGCGAGCCGCAGTCCTTGCGCGCACTTATATCCCCAGTTCGTGTCCCGAGTTCCAACAAGACTTTAGAATCTGCGCGGTTTTCTCTCCTTTGACCACTGTTTGTGCGGCCTGGCCTTCGTTTTTCTTATCATGCCGCTTCAGTGGCTTCGCGGCCGCTTTGCCTACACGCCGCTTCAAACCGATGATGCGGCCTCCTCGGGCTCTTCATCATGGAAGGGCAGGCCTTTCCTCACAGTCTTTACCCTGAGACAGCTCAAGTTGGCCGCACTTACTATTCTTGGGCTATTGTTGCTATTGGGTGTAGGGGTCTACAACCGTGATCAGATTGAAGCCATTCGAGCAGCTTACTTAACTTCTCAACACGATGAGTCGCCTGATGTCAAGCCTATAGACTGGTCTCGCTTTGCATACGTCCAGTATGTCACTAATAAAGACTACCTCTGTAACTCGGTCATGTTCTTTGAGAGGCTGCAACACCTTGAGAGTAAAGCGGACCGAGTTCTGATGTACCCCTCCGTCATGCTCTCTGATCCTCTTGAGAAAGAACATGAAGGTTCTTCAGATGATGCCAAACTCCTCATCCTTGCTCGGGAGAAGTACAACGTAAAGCTTGATCCAATATCAGTTCAACATCGAACAGGCTCAGATCGTAAGTCGTCCCTCCAGGATCGTCATCCTGGCCGCCAAGGAGCTGACATGGGGCTCTCATCTAGCGACCTGGGCGGACTCTTTTACAAAACTTCTTGCCTTCAACCAGACTAACTACGACCGCGTGCTCTCAATCGACTCGGACTCAACCCTCCTGCAACACATGGACGAGCTCTTCTCTCTTCCGTCAACCCCAGTCGCCATGCCACGTGCGTATTGGCTTCACCCAGATAAACACATCCTATCCTCCCAAGTCATTCTTATTCAACCAAGTCAAGTGGAATTTACTCGCATAAAATCAAAGATCAACAACGCTGGAAGAAACGACTACGACATGGAGCTCGTCAACGAATTATACCAGGACAGCGCCATGGTCCTACCGCACCGGCCATACGATTTGTTAACGGGGGAGTTCAGCAAAGACAACCACCAATGGTACCTTGGCAGCGACGAAGAAGCCTGGGATCCGGTTGCCGTGTACAACGAGGCAAAGCTACTGCATTTTTCGGACTGGCCTTTGCCTAAGCCCTGGTTGGATGCCCCCGAAAACTTGGTCCGCGAGAGAGAGCCTAAATGTGTGGCCATGATGGATGGACTTGGAAGTTGCGCCGCGAGAGATATCTGGCGTGGGATCTACGAGGAGTTCAGGGAACGCAGGAAAGTAAGTCTGCTGGAAAGTCTCAAGTAGTTTGCAAACAGCGCGGCTAACATGGAGACAGCGAGTCTGTGACACGAGGCCCCCGGAAACACCAGAGAATGGTCGCAGACGCCACCGAACACGGAGGAGATGAATAATGCATTGCTTCGATAAGAGTCCCCTGCGACCTTGTTTTTTTTTTCTCTTGTCCCACGACGAGCAACTTGTAAGCAGTTTGTCACTTTGTGAGCCACTCAGTGAACCCCATCGAATCTTCATGAGGCTCATCAATCCTAATTGCTAGTAAGCAAGCTCTTGTCAGTACAATGGACGGTTCAATCACCAAGATGAACGGATCAGAAAATTGAAATTAGGACTACATAGAGTATAGACATGCTAGTTAACTTAATTCAGATTCTCAGATAACAGGAACCACGCGATCCCATAGTCCTGATTCGAGTAACTTGGAATTGTCGAGGGCTGTATTGAACAAAACTCCGATGAGGAGAGAGCGATAGATGATCATATCATCAATTTTCTCATTAGGCCTCGTCTTCCATTTGTTTTGGTCCTCTGATTTCGGTTGACGACCTAGTACTGTGGCTAATCTGCTTAGCACTTGATATGTGTTGAAGAAGGTGGAGGGCATATCGTATTCGGATCCTATTAAGCGTTCAATCGGGAACGTGGTATCCTCCAATTGTCTCTGGAAATGTCTCAGATGTTCTTTGTCTTCGGAAGTCAATTGCAGCTCCACTTGTCTCGATGGAGCAGAGAACAACTCGTCACTAAGATGAGATCGCAGGTGTATCAGATGGCCCGTAGAATCGTGTCGTATCTTCAGGGCGGCTACCAGGGTATCTTTGCCGAGATCGAAGCCGTCAATGAGGCTGCCAAGCGCTTGCAGCATCTTATAGTGAATGCCCTGCGCAGTCAGTGGCGGCTGCTGCTGTCCCGGCTTTTCTGAAGTTGGATTTGCCACATCCGGAACTTCAAATAAGCCTTCTTGTGCCATACTCTCTGCTTGTGATAGAATCAAAGAGGTACTGAACAGAAGTTGGATTCGATGATCAAGAGTTTTCTCATCCTCCACGGCTTTTGACAACCAGTGATCTGCCCGCTCGAGTTCTGAATGAACGGCTTGACGAAGTTCCTCTCTTTTCGCAAATGGAAACTGTGCCATTTTCGTCCGGAGCTGCGTGGGATGATAGAGAAGGCTCAGGCACAATAACAGAGCTCTATAAGTGCTGAGAGAGGAGAAACGCAATGCCTCCCATTCTTCAAACCCTGCTTCACTTTCTGTCGCCTCGGGATCTTGTTCTCTTGAATTGAACCATTCGAATTTTTCCCAAGCTAACCCCCCGGCTCTCTTCAACTTTGAATTCGCGAAAACGTCCAAATCCGTTTTAGACAATTTTTCCCAGTTTGATTCATCAAACTCACGAAGTGTGACTTTTGCCCAAAATCTCCCATTGAGGGCGAACGCTGTGAATGGATTGTGACCCTCCCACACTTGTGCAGGGAAAAGCGACGGGGTGAACTCTGGCGACTTAGCCAAAATAAAGCTTGCAAGACGTCTGCAGTGATGGTGGATGGCATCGTAGTGTGGTACGAAGCTGTCCAGCCCTCTGTGTCTGCGGCCGAAAAATTGGATTACCTTTAGCATACTCTGGCCACCCTTTCCCTGAAGCATATTGAACTCTGGAATGTCATAAATGTTCCGTAGTTCAATAGTGCCGTTGGAATGCTTCCCTGCCTCTCTGAGCTTCTCCAAAGTAGGTGTTGACATGTGAGAATTGCCTCCGCGCCGACGATGCTCAGAAAATGCCCCAATTACACCAAGAACTGGGTGCTGACGGAAATCGAATTGAAAGTTGCAACCAATGATGACAGGGTATAAATCCGTATCGACATCCAAACGCTGCACTCCAGCAGCTGCTGTGATGACTACGATTGCCCCAACCTCAGCAGAAGCGGGGACGGCGATGAAGTCGTCAGGAAGGTAGTCGGCAGTAACCGGAGTGAGGTCGAACTCGTTGTCGAACCCTTCCAATCCAGTGGCTTTGAAAAGGCCAAGCCATGTAGCTGGATATGGCGCCACGTCAGAGGCGAGATTTCCGACATCCTTCAGTTTCTTTTTTACCCATAGGGGGGCAAGCTTGCTGGATGTCACCCACATGACAATCTTGCTATATAGGCTCAAGCTTGGTCCCGACTCCGGTGGATTCTCTCGTTCTTCTTCTCGGAGACGAGTTATCTCCTCAATCCCTTGCTCCAGCTCCTTCAACCTGAGAATAGGAGTGAAAGCGGTATAGCTCCAGCTCATTTCGGAAAATATCCATTTCCTTGTCGTCCGCTTCGACCATCTCCCGATAGCTCGAGCATTTGCTCTGCGACCACCTTTCCCACCTGCAAGAACAGCTTGGAAGACTGTAGCAAGAGCAATCATGGAGGCTACCAATCCAATCAAAAGCGTAAAGCCGAAGGTGATGGGATCCCAATCGATGCCTGCATCTTGTGCTTGTTTTTGCTCCGCAAAAATGTTCAGAAGAGCCCGGAGCAGACAGTCCGTAGAGTTTTGGTTTTCGAGACACTCCGAACCGGCAGTGGCCATGATCAAGGTGGATTCGGGGCGAGCCCACCACCGAAAATATAGGCTGAGAGGCGAAAGATGGGAGACGAGGATCTATCGAAGCTGCACACCTGACATGGGAGCAAGCCGACTATATGTCGCAGAAGCCGCCTGAGTGCCGCTTGGCGGCCCGAAATGAGTAAATTTTGGTGAGGTGAGATGACATTGCCGTAGTCGTGCAGGCTGCATTATCTTTCGTGGAGCTGCACGGAACGTACAGTTAATGTTACCAGAGCGACTAATTGATTGGTCTATAATATGATGCCAGGAGTCAGCGACCAGCTCCGTTCCTAAGTGAGGCAGCCTTAGCGAATGCACACGAGTATATGTACCGTTGAGAGCAAGTTGAAGGACGCTTCCTGTTCACACCTTGCCTTCACTTTTCCCCATCAAGTTGCGCCGCGTTAGTTTTGTAACACACACTAGAAACTGCTACGTGATAGAAACCAATCATGCCTCAAAAATGGTCTTGACGGGCACCACATTACTCCCGTTCCTGACCTCTCCGCCCTTCTTCTCATCATCTCTATCACCAATTGACTTCTCCAATGAGCCGTCTCCCTCTTCCTCCCCCTCCCTTGCCCAGCCACACTCGTAACCCCAGACGCAACACTGCCCCCCTCCTCATCCCCCTCAGCTTTAGCAGCCCTCCTCAAATACCACTTGAAGACATAGACCAAGATTTGCGCCATGAAAACCTGCTCAATAGTATACAACAACACAGGAATCTGAATCAGCGCCCTCGTCAAGTCATCCGACTGCGTCCACATAGCCGTCGCCAGGGGAATGCCAAGTGACGTCGTCTTCGCCGCACCGCAGAAGCAGACGGCAATCATCTGCTCCCTCGGCAGCTGGCGGACGGTCAGGGCACGCCGGAGAAAGTTGGGGACCCAGCGGGACTTCAGAGGGCGAGACTCGGCGAGAAGAGGGTTAATTGTGTTGCAGAGCGCCAAGGGAGGGCGGGCGGCGTAGAAGCAGATGAGGGTGAAGAGGGCGTAGAGGGCGACGTTCATGAAGACGTTGAAGATTATGGAGGGGTGGGGGGTTACGTAGAGGGCGCCTGTTTTGAAGGCTGCTGAGAAGGTTGTCCTATCCAGTGTTAGTATCACGAAGAGAAAGCCGTGAAAGGGGCGAGGGTATATCATGAAGAGGGGCAACACCAACTCACCAGACAAGCAAAATCAGACAAAACGTCGACACTTTAGCAAGATAGAACGTCCTCAGCGCCCAATCGACCTTCTTCTCCCAAAACCACCTCACAACCTGTCCCACAGCCAACGGCAACAACACGCTTAAGCCTAGCTGCTTCAGGACATTGGCGTACATGGCGCCCAGGGTACTCGGATTCGCGGGCTGCCAGTCTGCAAACTCGGGCGTCTTGGGGATGAAGCCGTAAATTAGACCAGGAGAGATGAAGCTGCCCAGCACGTTGCCGATGACGACCTCGATGATAGCGGCAGCGTCATCACCGCCCGAGGCGCGGGTCATGACGACGTTGGAGGCGATTGTCGTCGGCAGGCAGGAGGCGACGACCATGCCTACGATGATGGGGGTTGCGAGGGCTTGGGTGCGGAGGCCGCCTGCTGCGATGATGATATGTACGATGACTTTTGGGGCTGTGTCAGTTCGTGGTTTGAGATGGATGTTTCGTCCCATGCCTCCATCCATTGGGGGGTCATGAGCGGCATGTTGACGATAAGTGAGTTACTTACTTAGTAGTATTACGGGAATCACGATAAAGCTGATACCCTGGACAATAATATGTAGCCGCCAGTTGGCTACATTCTGCCTCAGCTTCGTATGCGAGAGCTGTAGTCCGCTGACGAGGAAGATGATGGCGATGCCGCCATAGATGATGGTGTATTCTGACCTGATCGGTCCACCTCTAGCCGCGACATCTTGTAGTTCAGTTTGTTAGTCATGTGCTCACCTTCGGCTCTTCCCCTGTGCTCTTTCTCTCCATCTCACATGAAGATGCTTCATAGACGCCAACTTACTCGGGAAAAAATACGCAAAAACACAGCTCAGAGCGAAGCCGATGACGAGCCACTGCGCCAAAACGAGCTTGAAGATCCTGACCGCCTTGATCCGGATGCGCGCCCACGTCGACGTCAGTGCGGTCGCCGACTGAGGCTTTCCGCTCTCGTCGCGAGCGTCTACGGGGCCGGCCATGGCTGTCTGAGAAATACACACACTTCTCTCACGCCGCTCTAGGCCGAATGAGACATCGGAGGTGTATGTGTCGTCGGAACGGGGGGCGCGAAGGTGGAATTCCCTTGAGATAGTTGGATTATTGAAATGCGGTGGCGGGACCGGAGGACCTCCGTATCTCTGACCGATCTACCTTATCGAGATAAAGTGTGGTGAGGTGAGAGATTTAGCCTGCAATGAGTCGCCAAGACTTATATCGAGAGGGTAAGTTGTATTGGATTAAGGTTAAAACGACTTCATGTCCCAAACGTACGGGCCCTTTCATGTACGGCAAGCCGAACGTTTGGCCGCCTCTCTCACACAGTACCTATCTACTTACTCTTCCCAAACCGTGCCGGACAAGTCTTCCTCCGCAGATAAAGATTAGGTGATTTGCAAAGAAAAGAGAATGGATGACGCCAACGCCCAGGTCACTCGCAGTTCGTTGGTTTCGCGTCGCGAGGGCGGGGCCGGGTTATACCCGGGCGGCGTAGGCGTGGGCGCTGCGAGAATCCCGACATCGGTGTCGTCCGAAGGTGGAATTTCGTCCAAGATTCCTGCCTGGAAGTTTTCGCCAAGTCACTTGACCTCTGGAAATGAAAACAATTGATTGACTTCAGTGCTGAAAGGTGGTTCAGAATATACAGGTGCATCTCCTCGAGTAAGTAAGCAAGCTTCGGCTTGTACGGCGAGACACGAGACCTGGAGAACTTCGGGGTTTCTCCGCTTCGGCGCCGTGCCGATTTGGCCGATGTTCGTGCCCGGCGTGTGATTGATGAGCTGAAGCACGTGTGAATCGGTTGTTCTCGGCCGGGGTTTTCTTTCATTTCGGCTCCGCGGCTTTGGAAACACTATCCAAAGGGTGCTCGAACATCATCCTCTTCCATCCCCCGGTTTTCCGGATTCCTCAGAGTCAGTGGCACCAGAATCTAAAAATTACATTACGGAGGGGTATAATACCTTTCATCCAGGTCTCACGAGCATAATATGAGAGAAGAGATTATTTGAATAAGTTGATTTTACTGATTACCTTTATAACTAATACTAGCGGTCAAATTTATCCCGCCTCAGTCTCTTTCACGTCTGTCATACACCCGTTTCCTCTTAATCTCGTATCCCGTCGTCTAGAGAAAGTATTCTTTCCATCTTCTGTATTGCTGTATCCTTGACCGGCGGTCCCGACGTGCTGTTTTTCCATGGTTATCCCCCAACCTTCTGTGATGTTAAACCGTATTTTTCCAAACCAGGGTATCTACCAATATTGTGTAAGAGAGAGAGTAAAAGAAAAGAAAAAGTAAGAGGAATCTCAAAAGAATTATGCATCACCCGAAGCATTCCTAGCTTGGTTCTGCATCCTACGCATCGCCTCGCGGTGCAACTCAAACATCTCCCCGCTCTGCATGCTCCTCGTGAAAGCCTGATCGGACCTCTCCTTATCGATCCTCGCCTTCTCCTTGCGCTTCGCCTCCGCCTCCTTCTGGCTCATCATGAAGCTCCGCTGCAGGTCAATGTTCCTCTGCACCTCGGCCTCGCGCGCGGCGGCCTGGCTGGCCGCCAGGTTCGATGCGCTCGGCGACCGGAACATGCTCAGTGCCATGTCGCGGCCATTGGCGGCGGGCGCGGGGGACGCCGTTCCAGCGCGCAGATCGGCGCGGACCGAGTCCCGGAAGCTGGCGAGCCGGGCGTCGCGGGCGTCTTGCGAGGGGACGTTGGAGTAACGCATGGGCTGGTGAGAGTCGAAGGCGAGGTTGTCGGCGGAGACACTGGGTACGTAAGAGTCGCTGGCTGACCTAGAGCCTTCGAGGGAGGATCGCATTGTGCCAGAACTGCTTTGGCGACGGATAATTTCCCTGCGCTGGCTCAATGGGAGGTCGTCCAGGGAGACTGGCGGCATCTGCGACGGGTAGACGGGGTAGTTGTACATGGAGCCGGTTTCGCTGGGTGCTCTGTAAGAGGCGGCAGATATCTCGGGCGTGTTGTTGGCGCCAGTCAGAATTCCGTACGTCTTGTTGCGCAGAGCGACGCTTCTCTGTGCGATCAAGCTCTGAGGGCTGTCGTAAGACATGATGCCGGGTGGTGGCGGCGGGGGGACAAAGACAGCTGGAGCTGTTGCTGAGGGAGCGATGCCAGAGGCGCCGCTTCTTGTGCTCGCAGCTCTAGAGAGCGCCTGGTGTTCTTCCTCGGCGATGGGCTCGAACTGCGTCTTGCTCGAAGCACGGCGATGTGACTGGTACGAGCTGTTTCTAGAGTGGCCACGATTCGGTGACTGGGTTGACTTGGGTCGGGTCAAGGCCGGCGGAGATGTCGCGACGGGAGCGGGCGATCTCGAAGGAGCTGGTGCAGGCGCAGGCGTGGCAGACAAGGCCGTCTGCTTAAGCTCCTCAACGTGTACAGGAGCTGGGGCTTCTCGGGTCTGCGGTCTGTCGTCTCCGACCTTCAAGATCTCAGGCTCGGGTGCGTCGGCGTGGCTCAGGTGCTTTGCCCATTCGTTTGTGCGGTAGTGTAGCGCAACGTTGGAGAAGCTAGGCGGCAGACGCTCTTGGGTAAGATTTAGAGGCGTGGAATGAAGCGAGGCTGTTGATTTGGCTTGCTGAGAAGGGACGGGGACTTGTTGACTCTCGCCCGACTCAGACAGCTTCACCGAGCTATTTTCTTGAGCAACATCACCGATTGCGGTTTCCGGCGCCTTCTCTTCGACAGCGGTAGGAGCCGCATCCTTGGCCAGAGGCTGGACTGGCACGTCAGTGACAGCCGTCATGGCTGACACTGGTCGAACAGAGTCCCCATCAGTGACGCTCTGTCGAGATGCCGATGCTGATGTAGTAGTTTCCGGCTTGATGCTCGACTGTTGCTCTCCAGAAAGCTGCGCGTTGATCTCAATACTGCGCCGGTCGTCACCGTTTACAGATTCGGCGCCGCTATCGCTCTGAGTGTCAACAGTTGCCGCGAGAGAAACAGCATCGTCATCCCTTGGACGTTGAAGCACCGCCAGCTCCTCATCACCGTCATCTTCCTTACGATGCGACATCGATGTCCGCTGAGAAACCCTCCGCATCAGCTGTACCGAGCTCTGAGAGAGCCGCTTCGCAAAGGAACTCCGCTTGCTGCCGACGCCTGCCTGAATCTCTTCATCATCGTCGGCAAAAGTTGCGATCGTGGACCGCTCCTCTTTGTCTCTGGCTAGAGCCTCCTCATCGGGGAACCTGAATGGTAGAGGTACCACTTCAGGAACCGATACCACCTCTTGCACGCTCTGCACAACAGCAGAATCAGCGACCCTGTCCGCAGCAACCGGTTCTGTGTGAGTTTCATCCGGAGCGACGCGTACTGTCACAATGACTTCTTTCTCCTTTTCGGAAACCATCAGACCTGGAGACTGTGGCTTTGGGGGAACAGCGGGAGGAACATCCGACCCTTGCATTTCAGCCACGGGAGGGGCGTGTGATTGAGGAGTAGCGGTGCTCTGGCTGTATCGAATACCCTTCTCGCTCTCGCTGTCGCGAGCAAAGCCGGAGTCGTGATCATCGCTGTCTGGTGTGTAATCTCCGTGGGCTCTCTCCCACGCCCGTCGCTCCAAAGCGGTGCGAGCCTCGAGCTCCCTTCCAATGTTGGCCTCTTCGTCATCACGGGCACGCTGAGCCTCGGCCAATTCCTCTTCCCGCTTCGTGCGTTTATCCTTGATGACGTTCCACAATCTCTTTTGAGAAATGACGCCGATAATGGTGATTACAATGATAGCGGCGATCTCAACACGAATGCCCTTCGTTAGCGGGTACGTGTTGGTGTCTTGAGGGAAGAGGTTGTCGTTCAGGCCCCAAATGTACGCCCAAAACTCCTTCAGCCCAGCCCGGCTGAAGCAGTCGATTCCGAGCACAGTTGCCGTGGCACCACTGAAGGCGATCGTACACATGAGCGCCCAGTCCCGAGTCCAGCGGCTAAAGTACAATGCAAAGCCTGCTAGTGAGAAAACAATGATGAAAATGATTTTGCCAGTTCCCGTAAGCAGGCCGCCCTCGTGGACGCAAAGCAGCCACATTGAGAAGCAAAATCCGCCGAGAGCACATCCCAGGCATTCCGTAATTTCTTTGAAGAACCAGGAAGCGAGAACGCCAACTGCGACGGCCGGTAAAACTGCTGCGACGACATAGGCTCCTTGGGATCCGTTGGACACTGGAATGACCATGACATAGACGACCAAGACTGTGATACCCAAGGCGACGACGTATGCAACGGAGAAGGCAGTGTGCAAGACTGTATTCTTGATACCAATCAAGCTGTAGATGACCCCAGTGCAGAGCAAGATGACACCAGCGACAGCCCAGCCTGGTGTAACCTTTGGCTCAATAGGCAGCTCTCCTGCCAACATGGTAGCTGTATCAAGTGTCAGCCTTGTGTAGGGTTTGATCTTGGTGCTAGGTGTTCGATGATAAGTTCACTTACAATTGTCAGCGCTTGAGTTTCCAGAGGTGCTGCCGATAGTTGGGATGATGGGAGGACTAGAGACTGTAGCGGAAACAGAAGGCGACTCGGTGGTAGTGACTGCCGTTGTCCTAATTGAAGATGCCGGTGATGTAGTACTTTCAGCATCTTGTGCGCTTCGTGACAAAGTAGCAGAGGCAACGGCTGCTGTAGTAGTCCCGCTCTCTTGACGTCTGACGGGCACCAAGGCTTGAGCAACAGCCACCTGAAGGAAGATTAAGAGAAGGCCCCATGAGATCAGACGATTCCACCTCGCCATGATGACGAATTAGCCACCAGATGTCGAATACAAATTAAAGTTCCAATATTACTGTTTGTTGTTGTCGAGACAGTTTCCGAGCATCGATAGTTTGTATCCACCTGAAGCACTTGTGACGTGAAGAGATGAAGGGATGCCGGCAACAAGAAAAGAGTCGGTGGAAGACACAGGCAAGCTGAAGGGGGGAACCGGGAGAGAGAAGGTATTATTAGATGAACGAACAATGGTCAGCCAGCATCGACTCGAACCCCAGGGACCAGTAGGGGATTAGGACAAGACAGCTCCCGGGCTGACAGCAGAGAAGGGGAGGGGAGGATGGAAAAGAAGAAAAGAAAGGGTACAGACAGGGGCAGGGAACAGCCCAGATGTCATGGGGTGGAGTCGAGACCTGGAGGTGATCAAACTATATAGGACAAGGAGGAGAGAGTTAATGCCGGAGTGGGAGATCCATGGGAGAGATGCGGACCCGGCTGGTGACACCGAACAGGGCATCATTGGTGCACGAGTACACGCGGATGGCTTCAGCTACGATGGACTCGTCACAGCGAAATGTGTAATCCTTCCCACATGACGGAATAGACCTCCGGGACTGAGGCAACGCATGGAACCCTTTGAGATGGCCAAAGACTATGGAGTGCTTCCTTTCTAGCCACCATGTACAAGGTAAGAGTGAGATCAGACCAAGATTGAAGCCGCCTTGCATGCTTTACAACCTCCTCGCAGTGATGAGCTTCCAGCCTAGCTGGGATGGCAAGAACCGTAGCGGCACAGGATCGGAAGAGGAAGTACAAACAAGACGGCGCGCGGGTACGGGAGATGAATACCACGGACGTTCTGAGAAAAGAA